ATATATATGGAAAAAGATAATATTACCCCACTAGCTCATATGAACATATGAGCCCAATGTCCCAGATTGATTATGGGCTGATTTGACGATCACGAATGTCCGACAGTGTTTGAATTTTAGTTTTTTTTTTTTTTACAAATCCAAAATCACTTGAAATTTTAGACGTGTGTTCATAAAAAATAAGTGAATCTTCCAAAAATATCAAAACAATATTTTACACGAAATAAATTGACCAAAATGTCCCTAAAATATTTTGGGGGGTATTTTGGTCATTTTATTTTTATAATAAATTTTTTATATTTTTATTAGGTGAGCCTTGATGAGAAGAACATATAGCTAAAATTTCAAGTGATTTGGATTTGTAGAAAATAAATAAAATTCAAGTACTACAGAACATTCATGATCGTCAGATCGGCCCATATTCAATCTGAGCCGTTGGTCTCATATGTTCGTATGAGCTAGTGGGTTAATCCCATATTTTTCATATATATATATATATATATATATATAGGGATAATCTAAACTTCACAACCCTTCAAATTAGAAAGGTTAAAGATAGAGAGAGTTGTGAATAGTGGATTTACTAATTTTGTAGTCTATTTTTTAATAAAGTTACTTTTTGTGATATATTAATCACTAAGTAAGAACAACTTTGTAAATATTACTACAAAATAAGGAGTACTTTTGTTATCTCCATAAAGGGTAAAGTTGAAATTTTTACCAAAAGACAAGAGTACACTACAGATAAAACTCCACGACACTAACTTCTAAAATGCCATTGTACTATTGTAAAAATTTCAAATTTGATATTACTTAATGGTTAAGTTACCTATTAAAATAATTTTTTAAACAAAAAGTAATGATCTTTCGATAAATACATCCATCGCAACCCCTTAAAACTTTAACCTTTGTAATTTGAGGGGTTGTTAACTATAGACAAACCCATATATGTGTATATATATATATATATTCAAAAATCATGTTAAAGATATTTGTTTGACACGAATATTTAAATGTACACTTTTTTCATTCTAAAGAACTATCACAAAAAAGAAAATTTTGAAAAAATACTCTAGAAAGTTTTATTCTAGTCCAATTAATATAAGTCGTCTATTTTATTGAGATGGTTAGATATAGGCCTCATAAGCATTTTTTTTGTTCGCAAAATTTTTATATCCCGTTATCATCATTAGATTAATAATGCTAAAAAAGCAAAAAAAGTGATTTTGAATTTTTTAAGGCTTAGATCTTGAAATTCACCAAATAGATGGTCGAGATTCATTGTTGGATGGGTACTAATTTTGACTATATATAGAGTACAAATTGATTTTTTTTTCGAATAATTGATTATGAGGATAAAGAGAATGTGTGTACAAAATTTGGGGTCCTACAAATGTCAAAAATATGATTTTCTAGATATGTGGTTGCATCCCTATATATATATATATATATATATGGTAATGATCTCATGCAACAGTTGTATAGTAGTATAATGTAACTACATTAAAATATCACATTAGAAACATTTGTTTGACATGAATATTTAAATGTACCCTCTTTTCATTCTAAAGAATAATCACAAACAAAGAAAATTTGAAAAAACGCCCTAGAAATAGTTTTTCCAGGCCAATTAATATAAGCCGTTCATTTTAGTGAGATGGTTAGATATATCTTCAAAAGAATTTTTTTATTCCCAAAATTTGTATATAGCATTATCATCATTAGATTAATAATGTTAAAAAAGAAAAAAATGATTTTGAATTTTTCAAGGTCTAGATCTTGAAATTCACTATATGGACGGTCAATATTTATTGTTGGAGGGTACTAATTTTGACCATATCTAAGGTGCAAATTGAATTTTCTTTTTGTAAGATTGATTATGAGGATGAAGCGCATGTGTGAATAATTTTAAGGTCATAGAAATTCCAAAAACATGCTTATCTAGAAGTGTGGTTACATTATACTATGATACTACCATTGCATGATACCACCATTGCATGCCCATATATATATATATGTATATATATATATATATATAGAAAAGGAATACCAAACCCTATCTTATTCATATCACAAAGGAATAAGAGAAAAGAAAAAGGCCAAAAACTCGTACAACGAGTCATTTTCATATGAAGGTATAAACCAATAAAGACAACTCAAGACCAAAACTCTACAAAATGGTTCCAAACAAGAAATTCCGTAACAATTAAATTCAAATGGCAAAGACTTGCTAGATGTTCTTGTTATGCTTTGTGCAGTCCCTCCTTATCTCCCCTTGCGCCCCCATCTTCACCCCAATGGACCCCATTTTATCCATCCCTAGAGCAAAAGCCTTAAAGAAGGCACCTATATCCTTTCCCAAAGCTTGGACAATGGGCTTGGTCCTAGGGTCCAAGAAGAGTGCTTGATCAGTGGCTAGCAAGCCCAAATTGGTTTGAAGGTTGGCATAGTACATGTGATCAAAAGCAAATGGTGTCTTCACATCAAAGGGAGCCACCACATCCGTGTTTCCCCCGAAACGAGGGCACGACATCCTTAGGGCCTTAAGAAGCCTCGGATCGAGGACCGGGTCCGGGTGACCTGTGCCCCTATAGTCATAGAGGCGCCCTACAAATTGATCACAATGAGAGAAACCAATTGTATGAGCACCTGATAGAGCCACTAAGTCTGGTATACTTAGCCCTTTGGACCCGAAAAGGCGAATCAGTTGGTCCACTGTTGCATTGGACCTAGGAACGTTGCCTTTTACATTGGCAATTGTCGATGCCTTCCCATCTCTCCGGCCCTTCTTCACCAGATAGTTGGGACCTCCAGCCTGCACCATGAATAGATTCATTCACGTCAGTTCCAAGAAGAATAACGTTCACTGGTTTCATGGTATAGGGTACACCTTTTAAGCATCTGCCATTTTCTGTTGATATGGGCAATGGCAATTAATCATAATCATGGAAAACCCATTCTAGTAGTATTTTTAAGATTGAACATAGATAGCTCGGTTTCTTTTTTGGTAGTTCATAGCTAGGAGTGGAACTTGGAATGTAGTGTTGCTTGATGTCAACTACTAACTATTTAAGCGCAAGCGAATAGCTCAATTTTTGAATCATCAGAACTAAGTGCTTAAGAACTCAAAATCTCTTTCTTTTTAAATAATTTAAATAATTATCGGTTGTTCTTGAGGGATCCCAAAATTCTAGATCAAAGCATCCTCTTGAGTTGTTCTTTTACCCGAGGGAGTAAATACACATATGCTCCTGCAGGAGCACGTTGGCATCCAGCAAATTTACCAATATATTGTCAACTTTAAGCGCAATTTCAAACAATCGGAGATAATGTTGATGAAAGACGATCTTAAGGAAAAATAATCACTTTGTTATTTCCAAAAGTCAGAAGGAAGCACTAAAGGGACTTCATCCTAAGAAGAAATAAACAAGAAAAAGAAAATGAAAAAAACCATATGGATGTCAATTTTACAATAAAAAGGAAATAAACGTAGAAATGCATCTAGCAGCCACATCAAATATCGAGGTGGGAGAACATGCGGTTTCATGCCAAAAGTGATGATCATTAGAGAGAAAAAGAACAGTAGGCGTGGTGGGTCATGGCAATGGTTATGAGGAGACAAATAAAGAATAAGTGTGGGAACTCAGTGTTGAAAGCACTACCAGGCCCCGCAACCGGGGCCAGGGCCGGGGTGAGTAACTCGAGCCCAGTTTGAGTAATATTTAAAAAATAAAAAATATAAAGAAAACTCAAAAAATATGAAAAACATGTTTAAAGTAAAATTAAATAAAATATATTTAAATGAGGTTAAAAAAAGAGCCAAAATGGATTTTTAAAACTCAATAATTTCGAAATAATCTAAAAAAAAGGAAAATATAAAAATAAGCACTTACGGTCAAAACACTTTCCGATCTTCATCAAAATGATAAGAAATATATAAAAAATGTATCATAAATAATATTTTTTAGATATTTAATCTCTTTATTTTTGTAACATCTCGAGCTTGACCACCAAACTCGATATACTTGGACTTGTCAAGGTGGCGAGCCTAAGTTAGGCTCGCTCCCTCATGGCAATGGTTACGATGGGAGAAATAAAAAGTAGTGAGTATTGAACTTGGTGATTTTTTCTGTTGACTGTTGAGTAATTGAGTAGGTCGTAATACAATCCTATCATTTTAAATGTTAAATGGTTTTGAATGTGTCAGCAAAAATGAAAACCTAAGTACAATGTGCAAAGGAGGTACAAGCGTGCGACCGCAACGGCAGGATACCCACGAAAGAAAAAGTAAAAGTAGGGAGTGGGAATATTATTGTCTTACGAGATGGATGAAGTCCCTTGCTGCAATGGCGAGAATGTCAGCACAGGAGACGAGTCCAGGGCACTTGCTCTCGACCAGAGCCTTGGCTTTGTTCACGCTCTCGAACCCCTCTGCTGCCAAATCCTTGTTATCGTAAGCCTCTCTCTCTACTTCCACACCACTTCCGCCCCTCGTAGTAATCAGAACCGAAGCATCACACCCCTACACACAAGCTCAATTTCAGAGAGAGACCCCTGCACGCAAGAAAATAGCATTCAATTTGAGAGAGATAGATAGTACTTGGACGAAGCAGTCATGGAAGAAGAGGCGAATGGTGGCTGGGGCAGAAGAGGGAGCCTGCTTGAACTGCTGGGTGGTGACTGAGAGAACCAATTGCTCTAACTGTGGGCATGATTTAGAGTAAAAATCCACAGAAAGCTCAGGTTTTGTACTGTTTGATGACCCTTGGACACTTCTCACCAGAACAAGTAACAGCATGTAAATGGCGGCCATTTTTGTTTGGTACAAGTTGTTGATCTGATTTATCGGATGGGTCGCTGCAAAAAGTGAAAAGTGAAGAGAGAGGAGGAGGTTTCAGGGGAATTATAAAGAAAAGGGAGAATGAATGCATTCAAGTAAATGGATAGGAGCTTTTGCGGTTGTGAAGATTGGGAGCAGAGGGGGTCCATGTAAACAGTTCCCGACCCGTGAAGACTAGTAAAATAGAAGAAAGAACCAAGTGGGTACTGCTTACAGCTCTGTTCAGGTAAATGCCATCCGAAGTATGGAAAATATCCAAGTTGGCCTCAACGGTTTTCCACATTGCTAATTTTAGGTAAAACTCAAGTCAATCTTGAGACTCGTCCTTTCCTGGTATCTAACCTAACAATGGGAACTGAAAACACTTTATTTTTTTCTAGTTTATGTCTCTATTTTACTGAAGTATGCCATCTAGAAAAGCACTCACAATTAGGGGGTGGCAAGAGGTTGGGTTGGGTCTGGTCTGGGTGACCTCGACTTAGACCTGACCCAGACCCAACTTGGGTCCAGGGTTTTAGACCTGGACTTGACCTAACATGTCCAAAACTTGGATCCTCGGTTCGGTTTAGGGTCTAGAACCTAATAAAAGTTTTTTTGAAAGTATTCAAACCATATATTTTGAATACACACATCATACATATATGCGCAAATTTATTAAAATATTATATATTTTCAAAAAGTATTATATATATATATATATATATATTTTTAAAATGAAATTTTTTATATAAGGTTGTTGTTTCGATTGTGAAAACCCCTCTAATCGATTATCTCGACTTTGAGATAATAGAGGTAAAAAAATAAAAAATGATTTTAAACACAAAAAATGGTACATAATTTAATACATTATCTACACCATTTTTAGTATTTTCATGTGTTTGTAGATCCGGTTAATCTTTACCATTTTTTTGAGTTTTAAATTTCATAATTAACTTTGAAGTAGTTTTTCGGATCATAATTGAAATTTCCTAAACCAAAATCATATCTTTTAATGATATTTGGAGGTGGTGCTTGAATTATTGAAAGTTGAGACCTTATACATATATCGACCCGACCCAATTGCCACCCTATTTACAAATTGCTTGCCACCCTGCCTCCAGGGTACCAATGATATTTCGAGAAAAATCAGCGGCACATCGGGTACCCCATTAGCCTGCTCGTGCACACGCTGCTAATCTGAGACAAAACAGCATTGGATGGAGTGCTCGGTAGCACGTGCAATGCATTGCCTAATAAAATCTATAGCCTTTAATGTAATCGGACGGTCAAGATAAACTCGTGACCTGACGAGAAGCGTAAATAAATGTATTTTAATTCCACTCGTATTTTATTGTTTTCTCAGTTGTTTTTTGGTGTTTGTTGCTTGTTGTTCGCAATAAAGCGATGGGATGAGGGTGGGACAGCGGGTCCACCCTTCATTCTCGTGTATGGGAAGGAGGAAATTCAATGAGTGCTGCTGGTTTTCAATGTGCGGCTTTTACTTGTTCCTTTTGGCTAACAGAAAAAGCGTGGTCGTGGAGGCCCACTTGCTTTTAGTTTTGGGGCCTGACTTTCTCTCTCTACCTATCTCTATTTAGTTTTAGGGCCTGCCTTTCTCTCTCTATCTCTCGTTTCTTCATTGTTTAAGGGTAGGATGTCAGGTCCACTCAGCAACCCTTTCCGCAAAGGTGGAAAATTATGCCCCATCTCTCTCTCTCTCCTTTCTCTCTCCTGATTTCTTTTAAAATTAATGAACTCCTTCTCCCAAAGAAAGAGATGGTGTGGTTTGGATAAGGCTGAGCACTAGCGGATTAAGTTTAAATAATCTTTAAAATTAACGGTGTAGATAATATGTTACGAAATACATTGTTTCTAAGACAAAAATATCATGTTCATACGTCTTAAGGTGGAGATAGCTGTAAATGTTATATACATTTTTCAAGTTACGTTAAGAGGCCAAAAAAAAAGTTATATTGATATTTGTGCCCGGTTTTACCCTTAAACACCTGATTTTACATATAATAGTGATCAACAGTAAATATGACCTCTTTAACCAAAAGTAAATAGTCACGAGAAATGTTTCTATATTTTCCCTATAACATAAAATATCCATGCTTCTCCTACCATCCAGCTATCTAATTCTCCTACCATCCAGCTATCTAATTTTGATCAAGAGAGTTATTCACCATTTAATCTTAGATCTGATATTTGAAAGTATTTTATTTTTAGTTTTTTTTTATAAAAATTGTATGAATATAAAATTAGGTACATGTCATCTTCTCATTGGGGCTCACCTATTAAAAATATTAAAAATTATTTTTTGATAAAATATATTGACCAAAATATCCTTGAAACTTTTAGGGATATTTTGGTCATTTTATTTTATTGGAAACGTTTTTTTTTATTTTTTTCGTTAGATCGAGCTTAACAGAGGATTGGACGTACAAATTTTGGTATCAAAATAGTTATAGAAAAAAATTAAAAATAAAATAGTGTTGAGACATAGCATTGTGATTGGAGCAATCTTAGCCCTCCATTCAGAATGGACGGTTGGATAAGGGGAAGCATATAAGTTTTAGGAAAAATTACGTAGAAATCTGTTGTAGTTTACGTTATTACGATTACTCCAAATAGTTTTCATTATTACATAACTGTCCATTTTTTATCTTCCCTAACGCTATTTTTTAAAAAAAGACAACTTTGCCCATGTTCGGATGTTTAACATCTGAATTTCTCATATTTTCGGATGTTAAATATCCGAATTTAGCCGCAGGTCAAACGATGCTTTTTCCCATTTTTGGATGTTCAAAATCCCAAAATATCAGAAATTCGGATGTTGAACATCCGAAAATGACTGATAGTTGAACAAAAAAAAAAAACCTCGCTACTGTTAGCGAGGTTTTCCAAAAAACCCTAGCTGCACATCCGAAAACCCTCGTTGCTACTGTAAACCTCGCATCATCTTCAAAATCTGTCGTCGCTACTATTTCGAAGTCTTCAACCTCCTTCATCTTATTCAACAAGGTAAGTTTTTTATTTTTTTGCTTGTTTTTCATTATTTTTTTTATTTCAAATAAATCATTGTGCTCTACTCTGCATCTAATGGTCCTAATGATTCTATGCATCTAATGGTCCAAAAATACATCAGTATAGAAGTTACATTTTGGTGGTTTTATTTTTACTATTCTATGCATCATTTTGGTGGTTTTATTTTTACTATTGGTTTTTTTATTTTTTACTAGGTTTTGTTGTGTATATGATGAATCCCTAAAAATACATCAGTATAGAAGTTACATTTTGGTGATTTTATTTTGACGATTATCTACATCATTTTGGTGTTATTTTTACTATTGGTTATCTTATTTTTTACTAGGTTTTGTTGTGTATATGATGCATCCCTAAAAATACATTAGAATAGAAGTTATTCAATTTCTTACTGTTGGAAGTGAATTTCTTACTCAATCCCTAAAAATACATAAGTACATATGTTACTCAGTATATGATGCATCCCTAAAAAATACATCAGTTTGACTATTCTCTACATCATTTTTATTGTTGGGTGTGAATTTCTTAATAGTTTATTCACTTTTTTTGCATAATATTAGTCTCTTTTAGTTGCATTTGATCAATTTATCAATTATATCAATTTTGTGAAATGTATGGTTGCCCAATTAGTGAAGATTTGTGTTGGTGAAATTTGTGTGTTTTTTTAATGCTTATTGTTCTTCTTGTGAAATTTGTGTATTCTATTGAATGCTTATTGCTCCTTTTTTGAATATATGAAATTGAACGGTTAAAAATGGCTAACCTGATATATGCAATTTGTAGTGTTGTAAATAGGTATTAATTCAGATTCTGAGTGATAGTTTACCAATGGGTGGTTGGATATAATGAATTTTGGACAGAACAAATCTTTAATTACCAATAATAAGAAAACCACTGGGCCAACTAGAGACTTTCCCAAGTTGGCCGTTCATTTGTTATCCAGGTAATTTATGTATATGTAACCTTATGATTAACATGGTGACTATATGGGATTTCCGTGAATATGAATAGTTTACATCCCAATGGAGGATATCCAGGAGGTCCTCAGGACCCTAGTTTGCTGCAACTTCATCCTGGACATGCATCATATTTTATATGGGAAGGACAGGTATATGCATATATTCATCTGCCCTTTCTATTAATTTTTTATTTTTCAATAAATTGTACTCAGGTTCAAACATTCTATGAGAAGTACATCTATATGTGTTGAGACTAATATGTTGTCTAGTTGTTGATTTCAGGAGAAAGAAGAAATTAGAATTGATGAGAAGAGTTTTCAATTAAACGAATGGAAATTAACAGAAAAGCAAGTTGAGTTAGTTAATGCGTCTAGGTTGGGTCCCTTGTCTATCATTTGGCCAGGCCGAATTGATCATCATTTGGTCTCAGCTAATGTAGAGAGGTGGCGTTTTAAGACCAACACATTTCATTTCAACATTCATATTGGTGAGATGACACCAATGCTATTTGACGTATACGAGATATTAGGATTGGCTGTGGATGGCGAACCAGTTATATGTCGTCCTATCAGTGACCTACAACAGTATATAGAAGACAATTTGGGTATAGTCCCTGAGGACAAACTAACAAAGCCTGAGGCATACATGGTTGAAGGCGAAGTTTAGGGAATTGCCACCTGATGCAACCCCTATTCAAGTTTATATATATACTCGAGCATATATGCTCTTCTTCATCAGTGTCACCATATTCGCTGATGCATTAGTTTTAACAGTGCCAACAAGATACTTACAGTTTTTTGAAGATATTGAGGGAGCCAGCAAATTTGCTTGGGGTGCTGCAACCCTTGCATTCCTCTATCTCTCATTGGGAAAAGCTTGTACCTTGAAGCAAAGACATAGTGGTTCAGGCACTCTCATGCAAGTAACCTTTTTTTTTGGTATATGATATAAGCGTTGCTGAATTTATTAAATATTAAATAATTGTCGTTGCTGAATTTATTAAATATTAAATAATTATCGTTACTGAATTTATTGCAGTGTTGGTCATATGAGCATATTATGCATATGAGGCCCATGTCACATAATATCTCTCCAAATTTGCCTAGGGCCAAAAGATGGGAGCCCTCGAAGAAATATCATAGCAATCTACATAACCTAATGCCTCCCATCAAACAAGAATTTGATAACCTCCAACCTAATGAGGTTAGTGTATAATTTGATATTTATTACTTTCAACTATATTTAA